CAGTATCTGTAACCTTGAACTTTCGATGATAGCAGATTTTCTACCTAGGGCTGACGTTTAAGTCCCTCCCAGCCCTGGTCACAGAAAGTATCTATGGGTCACAGGGAATTACCTCAACACTCAATACCTATAAGAATGACTACAACCAACTCAACCTCAATATTTCAAAACTGAATGCAAAGCTGGACACCTAAGAAAATCACATGAGCACTAAGAATGGAAGTGCTGATAGCTGCCACCATTGTTTCAACAGGCCATGCCAGAACAAACATTGGCTTGGTTTTATGCCATGGGATGAATAAAAGTAATGCTGCCAAAAGCATGCAGAAAAAGAGAAACTTAGAGTGCCAAGTATGATGATTACATTCATGATTACACAAAGACAAAGAATATTTTCAAACTTTTCGTTTATTTTCTGCACAGCACAAACTCAAGTCTGAAAGATCTTGCTCCTCAGAAGGTTTTACGTCTGAAAATGAGAGAGGTTAAGCAAAGGGAGAGAGAAGAATAAAGCAAAAGGAAAAAACATGGATTCAGTAGGGAAAGGGTTAACGTGTTTTGTTTCAGTCAGTGTTCTACCAATGCCAGAATTACAAGGGAAAGACTAAAAAAGAGCCAATATTTTTTTTTATTATTATTCTTTTAAAAAGAAAAAGAAAAAAAAAAAATCAGGCCTATCTGTCACAGCGTTGTCCGGACTGGAAGAACCGGCAGGAACCTCAGATTCCTGACCAAGCCCTCCTGCACACAATGCCTCCTGAATGGAAGGAACCCAGGCCCGGCAGAGATAGCCCGCTGTCAGGAACCGGCCCTGACGTGTGTGGACAGACAGGGCTGGCCTCGCAGGATGTCAGAGCGGCAAACTGCGGCTCGAGATACTGCACTTTCACACACTCTCAGCCTGCATGTTTTGCTCTTCAGGTAATTAAACAAGGAAACGGGGCTGATGTGTACGAGTCTGACCCCTGTGCTGCGGCTCCACACTTCTGCCTATCAACTTCCGCAAGGACTGCCTGCAGCATCAACAGTCTTCTGCTCTGCTCCCCTCTCTCCCAGTGCCAAGCTCTAAAACGAATCCTCCCAGAATTATGTGCTGCCACTGTCCACTCCTTTTGCTGTTTAAGAAGGGCTAAATTGCTTACTGTTCCACATGCCTTGCTGCTTTTTCATACGAAGAGAGAAAAAGGAAGGACACTGTTACTTTCTGAGAGCTGTTCCTCAGATATACTCATAATGTTACCTGGAGGAAGAGAAGAACATGCGAGACAAAGAAATCATGAATTAATGCTTACGTTCAGGTCATTACTCAAAATGAGAAAGATCCTGAAAAGTCTCTCTGATTCATCCATCCAACCACCTATTTCACTTTTTGAGTCTTTGCTTTACATAACGATATAAATCATACAATCAGGAAAAAAAAAAAATAAGCCAGTGCCTCCTCTCCCTTTCTTTTTTCCAAAATTTCAGAAATGGTAGAAGGCAGGTGCTACCACCTATAGTCTGTGAAAGCCCTGCACATGCTGCTCGCTGGCTGACCCGGTTTCTATGCTCTTTAAATACTATTTAAACAAAATGATTTTAGAAAGGGTAACATATTCTTGCTTCTTCTGAAAACCCACAGAATAGAATATTGGCTGAGAGAGAGAGAGAGAGAGAGAGACCAAAAGAAAGAGGAGCACAAAAGCGTGCCTGCTTGTCTGTGTTCAACACAAAGAACATTAAATGAAAACAACTGGCACGCCGCCAAATTCCTATACAGGCAAAGAGATTCAAATAAATTGATTTCACGCATCACACTGACCTGGGATCAGTGAGCAGTGCTACAATACACTTGCTGCTCCACGTGGGGCAAAGCCCATTAATGTTATCAGAGCCACAGCACATCACCAAGAAGGAAAAAAGGGAAATCAACCTCTGCACACTCAGAAATTCACTTTGGATATGGAACTTCAGCTGAAGTGCTTTGTTTCAGTTTAGTAATAAATACATCCTATTGTCACAGTCTGCTCATCTCAAAGGTTTCTAAGATTGTAATTTTCAAATTAAAATAAATACAAGTGCCATATGGTCACCCTTACTGCTTTTAACATAGGTGCTCTCAAACTCAGTTATTCTCTGTGAATTTCCTCCCTTCACTGTCCACCAGTGTTCTATATAGATTATAGGTTATTTTCTTTGTAATTCAAAAGGTGGATCCCTGCCCAGAATGTTCCTCTTGGCTCAGAAAGTAAACTGAAGAAAACGGCCACCACTCCCAACCACTCCAAATCAACCTGACCTCCCCCAAAAAAACATCATTTGCAAGTCAGTGATAAACAAGGCCTTACTTCTCTGTGTAGAGTCGCTTGGGCTCCCTCCCTCATCTCAGAATTTCACTTTCTTACAACATGTGAAGAAACCTATACATACTGTAGAATCTCTTCTTGTCATCTAGCCTTTGTTTTTCATTAAGATCTCTCATACCAGCCAGCCACAGGTGTGCACCACATGAACAGATGAAGACCTGATTGTGAGTTGAGTAATGATAATCCTGTGTCTGTAATGCACTCATCCCCAAGAACCTTATTACATCTGTTCTATGTTAGAAGGGGGAATTATTACTTCAATTGGACTCTGAGATGTGTAAGTACGCAAACAACTGATATGAAGACCAAAAAAGGAAAACCAAGAAAAAGACGACATTACAGGAGCAGAAGGAAGGTTGGGATCACCCTAAGCATAGGTAGAGGCCACTGCTACAAGAAAATTTTAGGCTCAGCCACTTCTTGTTTTGCCTTTTATCCCATTTTTGGTTTCAAATAGTAAGTCAAATCTTTCTGGGCACAGCAAAATCCACATTGAATTAAGATGAGTTTAGACACTGCTATGAGAACAATTATTCAGCTCAGACCTACCTCTGCTTTTAATGAAACCTACATCACGTAATCTGAAAAGGCGTTGTCTGCCAAAACATCCATTGAAGTGGGCTGAAAGTTGCTATAATATAAAAGACAAAACTATCTAGGGTAATGAAACAGAAGCTTTTTGATGGATTTCAAAAGAGTGTTAGGCACATCTCTCAAGTCACTCATCCAAATTTCAGTGTGGAGCATCTGGGCCACTTAAAACTAAAATTCTTCAATGTGTTACAAACATATACACCTAGATTTAGGTAACTTACTCAACCATCTCAATTCAAATATATCTCAAAATGGGAATGCCCAAAGATCTATCAATTACTCATCATCACCCATTGCTGTCTTTTCTACAAAACTGTTGCAAGGCAGTTTTGGATCAACTTTTTCAATAAGACAAAAATTATGGTTAACTCTGTAAGTTTTGCTACAGAGAGGATGTACTTCTTTTGGTATAAAGCTAGATTGATAGGATTGCAAGGAGAGGGAACTGTTTAGGATACAGCAACTTTGTAATGGTAGTGAAGACGCACCTGCTCCCAGGTGATATGGGTAGTCTGATCTGCCCAGTAGTTAATGGGACAGGTAACATGCTGTTCCCTCCCATTTAATGAATATTTCAGTAGTATGAGAAGATCATTTGGGCTTTATAAAGATGATGTGATTTTCAGCCATATGCAATCCCTCTTTCTAATAAAAATGATCAGTATTAGAAAACACGTCTCTCTCCTAAGTTGTAGAAAATTTCCATTATCTTGCACGTGCTCTGACAGCAAGAAACCACAATAAGCTTCACATTAGTATGCCAGCACTGCATGCTTGAGGCGTGAAATCTTTACTTTTACATATATTTATTTTGAACTCCAACTACATTGCAGAAGAAATCAACCAGCAACCACCCATATGGGGTACACTTGCACTTTGAAAACTGGACTGCAGATAGAAGAAAAGAGGGTAATTAGAAGATATACACTGTGAAATCAGCAAAATAAAAATGCAACAAGAAAGTCTGCTAAGAATATTCTTTCTTTTCCACACTGTCTGTGTAAAGGAAGATCATAGAGATACAAAGACTTGCTTTAAATCAAACTAGAAACTCAATTTAGAATACCAATTCATTTTTAATAGGATTTATTTTTCTTTAACTTCGTCCACACAAACGCACAAAGCCTCTACAGCGTGTAAATCTCCTTGCACTACAGCATCCATACAGTACTGTGGGGCCCTGAGTAGGCAATGTCTCACGTAGAGAGGCTAGGGACAAAAAACCAGGCTTCAGCTGCCTTCAAAATAAACCAGAGCACAGCCCAGAGTACTCAGACTTCTTGTTCACTTTATTTTGATATCATACTCCATCAAAGTTATGTCAGAGGCAAAATGGTCCAACACTAAAAAAGGACAGTATCAAGAATGTTGGAAAGCACTTAAACTGAGTTTAGTACTTTCTTGCTATCTAGACACCATTTTAGGAGAAAAAATGCAGTTTCAGTAAAAACAGGAATGACAGTCATAAGTTAAGTAGAAGAGTTGTTCTGCCATCACAGATTTACTTTTCAACTGTAGTAAAAACTTTCGCATGCAAGAAACTGAAATATTCATCCCCAAAACTTCCTGAATCAAATTTAACCCAGATTCCCAATGCAATGAGTTCACCAGAGGCTTCCTCTAAATTCTAAAGACAACCATTTGGCCAACATAATTACAACTGTCCCTTAACCTGGTTGCAAATACTGTTCCAATTCACAGTGCAGTAAACTGAACTTTACTATTTTTACAGCCCAGTCAAACAATATTTATATGCCAGATAAAGCGTACCTGTGGCATCAAAAATACAGGAAACGTAGTTAAAGATTGCACATAGATGTATTTACAAGAAAAGAACAATTTTAGAAAAGTCATCACTGAAGGATTTCACTGTTACAGCTGTACTCTTTCAGTGATATTAAAATGATGGCATCACCTTGATTGACTTAGGCAGACTCTTAGGAGGCTAAGGGCAAAGATTTCTGCTTAAATTACAGTTTACACCGCAAGGTACAGTCATTAGAAATAACTTCTTCTACAAGGTATGCACATTATAAAATCAAATATGTTTCTGTTCCTTACCTTGACAAAATTCAAAGTTCCCTTTTTTCCGGCAGTCACCTATCACTAAACTCAGTGCTCTCCAAGTGTTTCTTTTGACAGATATCATTCTCCACCAACCGCTCTGCTAATTTCCTCTTTCCTTTTCTGACTGGGACAGATATTATGTTCACCAGTCCAGAGATCAATCTTTTCTATTGACAACAACAAACGAAAAAAAAAGAAAAAAGAAAAGAAAAAGAAAAAAAAAGCACATATCACAGCCAGTTTGAAGTACCACACCCCTTCATTTGCATGATAATAGCAGTCTTTTAAATAAAGAGGGAAGACAGAACGGCTATCATACTAAATCAACTACCCACATTTTCTTAGTTAATATAAGGCAGTGCTTTAATACCATATTAATTCTTTGACAAAGGCTGCTTAAGAAGTTGCCCATTTTCATCTGTTAATATATAAAGGGTAACAAAGTAAGAGCAGCCTGCATGCCTCTTATTTACTAATTCTGTAAAAATGACTGGTTTTAGATGCATTAATATGATATAAAATATTACATACTTTACCTGGTTGAACAGAAGCCCTAGAGAATAATTTATTAAATGAATGAGGTTACTGAAAATAGAAACCTTGCAATTACACAACACTATATGAATTTGTAAGTCATAACAGCAAACACATTTTAAGAAAGACAGATCAAAAAGGTATTGGATATATTTACAAGTCATCCTCCCACTTCTGAAAAGGCAATTTCTCTCCCACTCCAACACCTACATGAGCTGTTTATTTGGGTTACACAAATACTTTCTCATTAGTATGAGCCTATATGACAGCGCTGTCAGTTTTTCCAAGACATTAATATGCTTTCCAGGGTTCATAATTATGTCAAGGCAGAGAGGTTTGAGAGCCAGGCACGCAGTTACGTCCATGCTACAATCCGCATCCACTGCTCGCTCAGGTGTTTCAGGACATACAGTTAAGCATGCAAAAGGATCTGGCCACAGCCGCATGCATCTACCCAAGGACCCAGCCCGGACTGCCTCCTGGACTAGATTATGCTGCAAAAAAAATGGATCACCTGAGGGCATTTTCAAATGATGACATTTGTACTGATGCTCAGAAGTGCAATCTTCCCCACACAAAAAAAAATATGTTTCTCTGCAGCCCTGGCCTGAGCCAAAGCCCTGCTATTTCAAGAGGCGTAAGGGGAATGTGGGACTGTACCCAGCACTTGGCAACCGTTCACTTTCAATATGACACAATTGCTTTTGGAAATCTGGGAAACAACTGCCAAAATAGGGTTAGAACTACCACCGTAGGGTGCAATAATTATTTTTTCTAAAATTATTATTACCATTTGGAAATTCTGTAGTTGTCACCATGTACATACTCTGGCATTCAAAATTACCTTTCCACTGTGCCTTATCTGAATTCTGAATTTTTCAAAACTTCAGACTTCTGCATAACACATTACACTTACACAAATGCACACAACATTCCCTAAACTGCCATTATTGTTTGATTTGAGTGTTACGGCCATAAACTCTTGCCACTAGCAAAGCTGAAAAATACTTCACTGACCAAGTGGCCCTATTAATTTCACTGAGCTCATTTAAACATTAAGTTTTCTACTGAGTGACGATAGCACAATCTGGTTGAAATATGGGTTTACAGTGGAACAGTAAATTAGCATCATATTCCGGATTCAGAATTACATACACACAGCAGCCATCTGTAAAGACGTATTCATGTTTTGTTAACCTTCGCTAATTTGGCCACTAGAAATAATTAAGATCAAATATGTTAAATTTTGTAATCTGTAACAATTCACTATTTTTGTCTACTAAATAGCATGCTTCTCTTCAAAAGGTTTTTAAATCCCTTACTGTACCACAATAAGTTCTTACTCAAGGAAAGAAAAAAAAAAAAAAAAAAAAAAATCAAGAAAAGTACCCATCTGTGGCCCACAGTGGAGACACCACTTTAATCTACTGTTCTTCCTTTGTTACAGCCTCAAGTTCATTTTCTCTACATACCACATTTTCTAAAGTGATGGATGCTTTCTGCTATACCCATTCCACAGTAATCTGCCTTTTATAATGCATTTTTGCTTCCCAATGCGTAAACAGTTGTTGTCTCTGGGAAGTACATGCAAAATCGTCTAAAGTCTGAACTTCACTGAAAGCAGAATACCTCAAACAATTTGTAGTCTTACAAGAGCGTTATAAAAAAGGATCAACATGTTGTATTACCATGGAAATTTTGAAAAACATACTTTCCCAAACAAATATTACTTTTTCTCAATGGTATGAAGTAATGAAAACCACATGTGTAAATCTGCGATCCATGCAGTAGTTCAAGCTGCAGCTAATAGAAAATACAGAGAGTGAACTCTGCCATATAAAGGATTCTTGTTACAGAAATATAATGTGAAAACCAGATGCAGACAGAAAACCTTAATCACAGATGGGAATGTAATCACTGGCATACAGAATACTTTTTTGATCAATCTCAACCATATGAGAAATATATTTATTTTCTAAGGAATGCAATAACTCGAGAGAGACTTCTATTTGAATTCAGTTAACCTCATATTCACAGTGCTTTTATCTTATATATAGAGAGGGGGTGATATAACCTGAGCCAAGTTATTAAGAAGAGCCATTGGCCCTGGCAAATCATTCTTGTATCAGCTTATCTTTCAAGGAATTAATAGGATGTAAAGACTACAAATATCAGAATCAGCCTCAAAAGAAATCAACCACTATTGCACTTCTCAGTTACTGCCAGAAATCTCTTCATCACCTAAGCACTTTTCTGGTTAAATTTTTCCTGTAATATGTGGTTCTTCAGAACTACAATGCAAAAAGCACATTGTTGTGCTCAAACTCTGCAGATTAGAGCTGGAGTCCTGTAAGAAAGAACCACCCAATCTGTTATAAAACCGGAAAGTATCATCTGCTCAAAATGTTCAGTCTGTTCCAGGCCTCCTCCTAACTACTGAAAGTCCAAATGAATGCCTAACTACTGGAAGTCCTAATGAATGTCTTCCACACATACAGATCTCAGTGTCAGAAAAAAAGAACACAATGCGCTCCAGCTATATGTTTACATCAAGACTCTTAAACACAGCTTGCATTTTACCAGGCAAGGCAGACCAGGACGTCTCCTACACATTTTCATTGCTAGTGACTTTCCTGCACAACATTCAGAGATGGAAATAGAATCACAGAATCACAGAATGGTCAGGGTTGGAAGGGACCTCAAGCATCATGAATCTCCAACCCCCTGCCATATGCAGGGCCACCAACTTCCACATTTAATACCAGTCCAGGCTGCCCAGGGCCCCATCCAATCTGGCCTTGAACACCTCCAGGGACGGGGCATCCACAACCTCTCTGGGCAGCCTGTTCCAGCACCTCACCACTCTCATAGTAAAGAACATCTCCCTGATATCCAACCTAAATCTTCCCTCCTTTTCTACAGCAGTAGTAAACTGCTGAAGAAGAATATGGAAATCGAGACTGAATATTGAGTTCAAGATTCAGGTCACAGATACACTACCAGCAGAGCTCACACTGTCACAAGAACTCAGCCTCTTCAAAACACCATGCTCCTACCTCACCCACCTCATCTACCCAGACAAATTTTACACTTGGTGCTCAGACTGGACTCTCACATTAAACTGCAAGATGAAAAAAAAAAAAAAAAAAAAAAAAAAAAAAGAAGAAAAAGAAAAAAAAAGCATTTGTTTGGAAATGAAACTGGAGAAAGCCTTCAAAGACATCAGGTGCCCAGGCTGTCAGCCCTCCAGCTCTGCCCTTCTGAAGGTTCCATTTTAAGTATCAACAGCAGGAGAATTTCCTTAGGACTCGACTTTTCAGCAATGGCCTATCGCGGGTGTTCATCAGGCTAATTCCTTTAAATGCATTTTCTCAATGGAATGCCTGCATGCTTGATGGCATTTGAAATAAACTACTTGCTGCATATGCCTTTTTTCATCCTATGTCAACAACTAGTAAACTGGATGATGGAAACAGTTTGATCCTATCACTCCAACCAAAATTTGGATTGTTTTTAAATCGTCTTGTCTACTCTGCCATTTAACTCTGAATTTCTGAGACTGCAGCATCTATCAATAGCGCAGGATTCAACATTTCACTCTGAGTTAATAAGAATTGGACATGCTGGTCTTATTTCTAAACAAGCATGCTTCAATTAATAATAAACTTGAGCCAGATATACATTTAAATTGCATGTTTTTCAGACGGCAGAATCATTGTGTGTAGAGTGCTAAGAATGGAGATTAATCTTCCAGCTGTAAAACAGTTCCATGTGAGAAAACAGAGAGACCCTGAAAACTCTTGCTTCATGTCATGTGTGAGTATGTGTGTGCCTGCATCTTTTTCTTCCTCTCATCTAATTTCATCTGTGAGACTGTCCCTAGAGGACAAGAGAAGAGAGAACCAATTATATCCAGAGGTTGGTTTCTCCAAAATGAAGGCATCTGTTCCATGCCAACGACTTCCACATGGAAGGAAAACAGAACTTTGAAGGCATCTGTGTTCATGGTTGACAGTCACAGATCTTAGGGTCTACTGTAATTGCCCAGCTGCAAACACAATTTGGTTGCTGCTGCTGTCAGCTGATCTCACACAGAAAAGAAGGGAGCTTAATCCCACAGAAAGTAGCTGAATAAAAATCAGATATTCTTACAGGAACGCTGATACCTTCTCCCATCTGATGAGAATACTTTTTGTAGTAAAATGGCTTTGATAGAACTAAATTGTGAAGCCATTTTTAATGAACCCTTTACCAAATATTCTATTTTAAAATGCTATTTTGCTATTCTGTATATAACATACAAGTTTAGGCATAAAGTGCTCATTATTTGTTCATATTTCAAGCTGGTATTTTGTAAGAGTGATTCAGAAACTAGCATGATTCACCAGCCACAGAATCCTGCAGCCCACCCCACTTGGGCAAGTAGTCTTGGTAAAAGCAAGAGTATACCTGAACAGAAGCTTCTCCATTTCCTCTCAAATGCATGTGGCAGACAAATAACTTTCATGATATTTATTATTCAACTCACACAACTTCCAGCGTGAGTGGATGCTTTCCAAAAGACACTTAAAGAAATATTACTGGTAGCTCAAAACCTGTGTTACAGCATTGGGAGCAATGCTTGCAGCAAAAT